AAAAAAAACATGAGAAGTTGGTGAGATAAAGAGAGAGAGAGAGAGAGAGAGAGAGAGAGAGAGAGCGAGCATCATAAACATCAAGAAATATGTCTCCAAGTGAATGAGTGTTGAAGACATGCCTTTCTCATTATTCTGAGAATGATAGCAACTTCCACGATGACCTTGCAATTTGACAGACTATATAAAGTCTTTCTCCCCATGCTCCTGATGATTCATTTCTACGCCCCAGAAAAAACATACCATGGAATGCAGCCTCTGCAGTTGCAGCCCACAGGGAACTAACAGATCATTTGTATAAGGCACAAGAAAAAGCAATAGCAAAAACTCCAGGATTCTGAAAACTTTTTTGGAGTGCCCTCAAGCAGAGGTCATTTCAGGGGGGATCGCGGGGGATCGCAGTTCCCCTGGGTGAGGTACGGGGGCGGGGCACACGACGAAGCCCCGCCCCCTGCTTCCAGCCGCCCCGCTTCCGGCCCTCATTCAGCCAGGAGGAGGCAGGAGAAGAGGGAGGGTAAGTTGCTTCCTCTCTGCCTCTCCCCACCCCTGCCTGCCTGGGGCCAGGGAGGGCCTTCGCGGGGCTTCCTTGCACTCCCGCCGGCCTTGCCTTATGACACACTTCCGGTGATGTCAGGGGGTGTGGCATATGCTAATGAGTTATGCTGATGAGTTCCCCTAGCTCTTTTTCTACGAAACGACCTCCTGCCTCTTTGAAGCTGGATTTCCCCCCCCCCCAGTGTCTTGTTCTTATTTTAGTTAATTGACAAAGCTGTACTTTTCTGCACACCTGGGGGAGACCCGCTAGTATGTAGACACCCTCACCTTGTCTTTCTGTAAGTGCAGGGGTTTGGGTACTTTGGTGGTATCAGATTTACTGATAGACAGTGTTCTATTTAAAGACACTGCCTATGTACATCCTTAAGGCAAAGCAGATTATTCCAGTGGAATGGAAAATAATGGGATTCATTTCCTAAACTCTAATTTCAGAAGGCACCATGTTTTGTACCTAATCTATTCTTTGTGGTTCTCTTCTTATAAGCAACAATATTTGAAAGGGAAGAGAAATTTGTGGACTTTGCATCACTTATACCTTCTCCAGGAAAGTTACCCCAGCCCATTTGTCTGAGTGTTAACCAATTTCTTTCAGTACCAATTACCTGTTATCATTCCTTATGTTTTCCCCTCTATTATCTCTTTATTTATTTTAGCAAAAAACTTTGCCTGTAATTCCTGATGTTGGGCTATGGAGGACCTGTCTTTCATTCCCGAGAGTATTCTGCAAGGGACACTGTGCATTGAGGACGCTGTAATGATAATAATCAATGCTCCCTGTAAGCTGTGGAGTCCTGTGAGCGAAAAATTCTACTTTGTGAGCGACTGGCATTAAAGTTATGAGTGAGCAACTTGGCTACTGCATAAATTAGTTGGCTCTGGAGCCATCCTTCCTGAGCTAAGACAAAAATGTGTGAGCTGGTTGTGTAGCTATACCATCGAGAACATCATCTTGGTTTTATGATTTGGAAGTGAGTAGGGGAGCACCGAAAATGTCTTTTTATTAATCCTATTTAGGTGTTTATCTTGTATTTTTAGTATTTTATACTGTTTTATTGTTATATCTGGTGTTATGCCTCTGTTAGCTGCCCCGAGTCTTCGGGGAGGGCGGGATATAAATCCAAATAACTAACTAACTAACTAACTGTAAGCTAGCTCACACTAACTCAGCTTAGAGGGAACACTGATAATAATCATTTTTACCTGTTGACTCGGACTCCATATTTGCTCTCATCTATGGCCAGGGCTTTGGTCATTGCAATCACAGCACCCTGCAAGATAAATACACAACAAGCAGGGTTGCCAACTGACCAGAAACCGCTTGGTCTCCTCCTCTTATAATATGATGTGCATTAAGAGAAGGTCTTTTAAAAAAATGATATGGGCTCAAATAATGCCTACAAACCAAGTGGCTGCTAAGCTTCTCTTAAAGGGAAAGGGTATTTTTTTCTTAAGTCCTGTTGGCAACCCTGGTGAGGACAGGATGGAGGGTGGTGGGCCAGACCTTCTCATCCTTCAATGTTGACTTTCAGCACCCGAGTCATCACCATCCCCACAAAGACCTGCTCCCTCTAGGTAAGAAAAAACAAATGGGGGGGGGGGAGCTGACGTACCCTTGATATCAAAGTCTGATCTTTAGCCCATGGAACTGGAGCATGAATATTGGGGACCTGAAGGACAGATTTCTTTGGCAGATGGATGAGTTAGAGCAGAAATGTAGAAATCTGGTCCCTTGAAGTTACGGTTGCCATCAAGCTTTTCATAGCACGGGGGGAAATGACATCACCATGTAAATAATCTTCCCATGAAGCCTCGAGTCAAGGGGGAGGGCATTTCATTTTCTCTAGGCAGTTAGCAACCCTACTTGGGGTTCTCGGATATGGGTGAAAGATGCAGAATGTTTTCAGCGTTGAGGCTTAAGTGAGTTTTTTTCAGTCTGATAATGAAAAAAAGCAAATGGACGTTCCAGCAAACCTTTACTGGTTATGGACTGGTCTTAGCCTCACGTATGAGAATTATCAGCTGGCCTGAAAAATACCAGCCCATCCTCCTCTAATGCCTTTAGGAGCACCTTGATTTACAAGATCCCGCAGGTGGAGTTTTTCAAAGCACAGAGAATGGAGACACTATCACTGGTCATCTCCATGCTGTGCAGACCTTCATCTGCCAGCCAAGCTGCTCTAAAAAGCTCGAGCAAAAAACAAGACTAACACCCCAGAGACAAAAAAACCTACCAGTCATTCATGCATGAAACTACAATCTCATTGAAATAAAGGATAATAGCAATCACACATAAATGAACACGAATATTCTAAAGCATTACAAAGGTTCTACAAAACATTACGTACATTTAACACAATATGAACGGCAAACTCTGTAGAGTATAAAGCTGACAAAGACAATGTTGCTGAATAGAATACTATCTAATGATCATGAGTCTTAAAGGAGACACAATGAAGGTGACACATAAGCCACCTCAATTATTCTCTTCTCTGAATCTTAAGAAGGCACAATGAAGGTGTCAGAAATGCCACTACAATTGTTTACCTCTTCACTCAACGGGCGATGCGGTGGATGATATGAGCCGTTTTGGAACAAAACCTTTGTCAAGAGGTATAGTTATCTGGGGGTGTTATATAAACTGATGGTAAGAGACAAGGTGAGGATGATAAGGATCATACAGAATAAATGGGAGGGAGAAGGGTTAATGCATCAGGAAGTGATTAAAGAAATAATGAAGGGTATAAATCAAATCAAAATAGATAGAGATAAAGAATTGGTGAGGAAATTTATATGGAAATGGTATAGAACTCCGGCTCAGATAGTGTATATGATTAAAGGAATGAATCCAAAGTGTTGGCACTGTGGCCAAGAAGTAGGTCTATATGCCTATATGTGGTGGGAATGCAAAGTGGTTAAGGAATTTTGGCAAAAGATTGTAAGGGTTATCTTTGATTTGTTTCAAGTTAATATAGAGATTAATAGGGACTTGCTTATTTCTGGAATATTGGGAAATAAAAAGTGGAAAGAAATAAACGGGAGTTATATAAAATTATGGTTTTAGCTGGGATGGCTGTAATAGCATTGGGATGGAGGGATAGGCACAAATGGACAATGGAAAAATGGAATAATTATGTCTTTGAACGTGTTCAATCAGATATATTCGCACAGATAATCACTGAAGAGACATGGGAGGAGAAATGTCAAAAGATTACAAATAAATGGGTGGGATATAAGGAATGGGTGGAAAGGGGGGAAGCCAATCCAAATATCCAAATACGAATGAAGAATCTGTGCACATGGTTAAAAATATGAAGATACTATAGGGGGGGAGCGGGGTAAAATGATTGTACAATGATTTAATGTAAGATTATGTATATAAGCTTCAATAATTAAAAAAAGAGGTATATTGATCTTCTTCCAAAAACAGTAAAATTCAAAGGTGCAATGACCATAATGGGAACAGAGAGAGAGCCCAGTAGCCTGAAGACGTCTGAGTCACAATGGAACACAAGGTACAGAGCATCTGACCCCTTCATTGTCTTTGTCAGCTTTATACTCTACAGAGTTTGCCGTTCATATTGTGTTAAATGTACGTAATGTTTTGTAGAACCTTTGTAATGCTTTAGAATATTCGTGTTCATTTATGTGTGATTGCTATTATCCTTTATTTCAATGAGATTGTAGTTTCATGCATGAATGACTGGTAGGTTTTTTTGTCTCTGGGGTGTTAGTCTTGTTTTTTGCTCGAGCTTTTTAGAGCAGCTTGGCTGGCAGATGAAGGTCTGCACAGCATGGAGATGACCAGTGATAGTGTCTCCATTCTCTGTGCTTTGAAAAACTCCACCTGCGGGATCTTGTAAATCAAGGTGCTCCTAAAGGCATTAGAGGAGGATGGGCTGGTATTTTTCAGGCCAGCTGATAATTCTCATACGTGAGGCTAAGACCAGTAAGAAAAAGTCAAAAGCTGTCCTATGCAGCCACAGACAGACCATTACATTAATCCACGTAGTTTGGAACTGTCCACTGGCAGAGACCCTCCCTGGTAAGACTACCAGAAACCCTTGCAACTGGGGATGGCGGGGATGAATCCTTAGGGGACAGAGCAGGCCGTCCACTGTGGAGCCAGGGACCTTCCTCATCACGTTCATTCGGGCAGCGGATGACTGAAGGACCCAGGAAAAGCCCTGCAGCACCTCTAGGACATATACCATCCCAGGGTTTTTTTCCTTCTTGACTTTCCACTCTGGAAGATGCCAGCTGCCCTCAGGAATAGGGAATCAGCTTATATATTAGCACTCACCTTGGATAATAACAAATAGCTCACAACATTGAGTTCCATGAGGTTTTCAAAGTCTTGGGCAGTGATGTCATCTGACGATTCTAAATAAGCTGTTTGCAAGAGGATATAAAAGGGAAAGGGGGTTTCACGGAGGCAAGAGCTGCAAAGAGAGAGAGAGAGAGAGAACAGAGCCACGCCCACCACAATGTGCTGATGGATTTCATTTTTGCTTCCCCCCTTTAAAGTAATACTTATTTGAGTAAAATCACAAGACAAACATAATAATCAGATCCTATGGATGTAAGAGTAGCTCTCTTGGATTCGACCGGTAGTCCAGCAGACCCTGTAACTCTGTGGAAGACCCCCTACTCCAGAAGGCCAAAATCTTTCCCTGCTTCTGCACTTGGGTTGCCAACCAGGCTACAGAAATCAGGTCCCCTGGGGAAAATGGCTGCTTTGGAAAAAGAAGAAGAGTTGGGTTTTAAACTCTGCTTTTCTCTACCCTAAGGAGCCTCAGAGTGACTTACTATCACCTTCCTTTCTTCTCCCCACAACAGACACCCTGTGAGGTAGGTGAGGCTGCTTTCCCCAAGTCCACCTCCCCTGGCCCCACCCCTAAATCTCCAAGAATTCCCCAGCCCAGAGTTGGCAACCCTATACTGCTCTCCAATCGCTGGTCTTCAGAGAGTTACAGGATCTGAATACGGAGGTGTCATTTACCATTGTAGCTCATCGGCATTGATGGACCTGTCCTCCATGAATCTGTGTGCTGAGTAAAAATTAGCAGAGCATTTGTGTAACAGCAAAAACTAAAGTAAATGCAGAGACCTATGCGTTTAGTTCTAAGAAAATGTTACTACATAAAATCAGGGAAGGGTGTCATGGGAAATAAAAGAATATAAAGAACAGTCTATCTAACTATCTAATCTACACCATCTTGTCTACATCGTGGTGTCTTCTCTAACAACAACTCAAGAACAAAGGGAGGAAGACTCACCATCCCCAAACTCCCCCGCCTGTGTACGAGCCAGATAGCAGGTAAAGGTAAAGGTTCCCTTGCTCGAAAGCCAGTCGAATCCGACTCTAGGGTTGTGGTGCTCATCTCCGTTTCAAAGCCGAAGAGCCAGTGCTGTCCGAAGACGTTTCCGTGGTCATGTGGCCGGCATGACTAAACACCGAGATGCACGGAACGCTGTTCCCTTCCCACCGAAGTGGTACCTATTTATCTACTTGCAATTTCTTGCTTTTGAACTGCTAGGTTGGCTGGAGCTGGAACTAGAGATGGGAGCTCACTCTGTCATGCGGCACCTGGGTCTTGAACTGCTGAACTACTGACTTTCCACAGCCTGCAGTTCAGCATCTTAACCACTTGAGCCACCGCAGCGCCTTAGATAGCAGGTACGTACCACTAAAATATTGATCAGCCAATAGCCAGGCTGAAGGTCACCTCATTATGAATGGACCTTTCCCTTGTCACTTGCAGAAAAAACCAACCGCTTCCAATTAAAGTAGAGGCCATCACTACATCTTCAAACAGTAGAGGCCACCAGTCGATTCATCTTTAAATGAAGAGGTACTTCCTTCAGAAACTATTAGTGTGAGAGACACAGGGCCTCGGGGAGGCGAGTCCCAAGAGCTTCATCTAAATATGCTGTGTCACTAAAGTAAAGGTAAAGGTTCCCTTGCTCGAAAGCCAGTCGAATCCGACTCTAGGCTACTGTAATTTCTTTAGTTGCTTTGCAAACAGCTGCTTGCGAAGCTATAGTTCCTCAAACACTTTATTGGACAAGCCCATTTTGGCTTTTGAATAAACAAGGAACGCCCTCACACCCAGACACATCCCTCCCAGGGAGTCTTCCCAGGACCCCAAATTGGTCTGAAAATCACTCACCATTTCCAGCATTGTTCACCAGGCAGTCCAGGCATCCGAAACGTTCTACAGTGGTCCGAATCAACCTCTGCAGGAACAGGGATGAAGAGAGCTCAAAGGCAAGGCAAGGATACCAGCAGCATGGAGAGCCCTGCAGTCCCAGAGCTGCAAGCGGCCATCGGTAGGTAGAACTACCATGGGCGGCACCTGTTCCAGGTGTTCGGTGCAAGCGCAGGAGACAGAGAAGGATGGGTAGCAAAGGAGCCATATGTGAGGTGAGGGACAATGTCACATCCTGCTGGAGGAGAGAGTGCAAGCTCCAGCCAAAGAGGACTGTAGGGAGAGTACCTCCTTTCTAAAAGGGCTTCTCTTTGTCTCTCAGCAGAACACTATTCTGAGATTTTCCTCCTAGAACAATCTGGAGCTCTCTGTCTTTCACCTGGTATGGCAACTAAGGGTCCGGTCACACGCAGAATTAGCCACGCGATAGGGACGCAGATTTTAAGTGTACAATCACACGAAAACATCTGGCAAGTGTCCCGCACCTGTTGGCAACCCATATCGCCCCGCTGAAGATGCGGAGTAAAAAGATACCTGGGAAAGCTCAGTATTTTCCAGAAAATGCGCAGCGCAGGCGGGCATCTGATCGCGGAAGTGCTGGTATCCCGTCACATCCGGCACCCATCTGCGTCCCACTGGATTTTTTTTACGCCTCCATGGTATGCGTGCAAATGCGGAACTGTGCATGCACACAAATGCATTTCTGCTGAACTGCCTTGCCCTTCTTTGCCACACCTCACCATCAACGTGTGATCGACAGCTGATGGCCTGAGCACGGACCCTCGGAGGAACGTCTGATCGACCTACTGCGCTTCATTTTGCTCCAGAGCAAAATGTCTCACTACCCCCCCCCCGGATTATCTCGCTTGTGTGACCAGGGCCTAGGTTTATCTCTTCAGTTTCCTATCCAGTTTGTTAGTTCCACAAATAAATCTTTCTTTGCTCTTAATCAGATCAGCGTTGTGACTGCTGCATAGGCTTTCTGCTATAACACTTCCAGCCTTACTGGACTCAGAGTCAAGGAGGCAAGGTCTGTGGTCAGCTTCTGAGCCCTTCCCATTGTCGGGCTCCACAAAACACTTGCACCAGCCATGCAGAGGGAAAGCTATGGCACTGAGGACTAGAACCTTGAAGCTGATGGAGCAATCACATGGAATCCCGGGCAAAGGCTTAAGCAGCGGAGAGATAAGTGCCTTCACAGATGACAAACATGTTTGGAGTTTATGAAAAAGGAACATTAATCAAGAGGAGAGGCCCGGAACTAGAACAGTGTCATGAGCATTCAGACACCTGAGAATTAGAATACGGAGAATGGTTTTAGCAGTGGGTACAGAGACAGTGGGACAATGGGAGCTGCGGTGGCTCAAGTGGTTAAGACGCTGAACTGTAGGCTGTGGAAGGTCGGTAGTTCAGCTGTTCGAGACCCGAGTGCGCCACATGACAGAGTGAGCTCCTGTCTCTAGTTCCAGCTCCTGCCAACCTAGCCGTTCGAAGAAATTGCAAGTAGATAAATAGGTACCACTTCGGTGGGAAGGTAACAGCGTTCCGTGCGCCTTGATGTTTAGTCATGCCGGCCACATGACCATGGAAATGTCTTCAGACAGCGCTGGCTCTTCGGCTTTGAAATGGAGATGAGCACCACAACCCTAGGGTCGGATTCGACTGGCTTTCGAGCAAGGGAACCTTTACCTTACAGAGACAATGAGGTACCATGAGGAGACCCCTTGAAGGCAGCGTCATGCTGCATCCAGACAAATGTCTTTCCTTTAAGTTTTAAAATGCAGTTCTGGCTGTAGCCACTAGGGATGCAGGGAAGTTTGAGCACAGCAAAAAGCACTAGAGGATTGGCTATACTTCCTTTTCTCCAAGACTGAAGCAAACTTGCTTAACAGATCGTACAACTGAGCCAGCACCCTGATAGCTGCTACAGTCATTGCCAGCCTGTGGGTCATTTCCTCCAGTAGCCTAACCACTCTCTCTTTCTTTCCTTGCACCCAGCTCAGCCAGGCCTTGCAAAGCAGCAGGATAAAACAACCTTTCCCTCTCTTAATTTCACTCCCTCTTTTCCACACATTTCCCATTCATTTCTGTCTCCCTTCACCATTTTTTCCATGTGCCCCTCACCCCTTTATTTTCACTTATACTGCGCTTCATTTTGCTCCGGAGCAAAAAATCTCACTACCCCCCTGGATTATCTCACTCGTGTGACCAGGGCCTAGGTTTATCTCTTCAGTTTCCTATCCAGTTTGCTCTTAATCAGATCAGCGTTGAAATTGCAAGTAGATAAATAGGTACCACTTAGGTGGGAAGGTAACAGCGTTCCGTGCGCCTCGGTGTTTAGTCATGCCGGCCACATGACCACGGAAACGTCTTCGGACAGCGCTGGCTCTTCGGCTTTGAAATGGAGATGAGCACCGCAACCCTAGAGTCGGATTCGACTGGCTTTCGAGCAAGGGAACCTTTACCTTTACAGAGACAATGAGGTACCATGGCCGAGGCCCTTTAAGGAGACCCCTTGAAGGCAGCGTCATGCTGCATCCAGACAAATGTCTTTCCTTTAATTTTTAAAATGCAGTTCTGGCTGTAGCCACTAGGGATGCAGGGAAGTTTGAGCACAGCAAAAAGCACTAGAGGATTGGCTATACTTCCTTTTCTCCAAGACTGAAGCAAACTTGCTTAACAGATCGTACAACTGAGCCAGCACCCTGATAGCTGCTACAGTCATTGCCAGCCTGTGGGTCATTTCCTCCAGTAGCCTAACCACTCTCTCTTTCTTTCCTTGCACCCAGCTCAGCCAGGCCTTGCAAAGCAGCAGGATAAAACAACCTTTCCCTCTCTTAATTTCACTCCCCCTTTTCCACACATTTCCCATTCATTTCTGTCTCCCTTCACCATTTTTTCCATGTGCCCCTCACCCCTTTATTTTCACTTTTATTTATTTATTGGTCTCAAGACATTTTCAACCCTATCCAGCTTGGTGACAGAATATATTTAAGAGTGGTATTGTAGCAAACCTTTGTTAGTATTATAGAACAGAAGGCACTGGGTTTTCTGGGCACTGTACACTGCACTGGTTCAGCTGGGCTTCCAACCCAACCCCCGCCCCACTTGGACTGTGATTCTGTGCTTGCCATCAACTGGCATCGCCACAATGGCATTAGGTTTGCTGGGCACTGTACATTGCACTGGTTCTGCTGGGCTTGCATACCCCCCCCCCCAAGTTTGTACTGTGGAGAGTCTCTGGTTTGACTTCAGTCCTTTGGAAAGAATGGAGGATGGGGGCACCTCTTTGGAGGGGGGTTGTATGTTTCTTAACATCCAGTCTAGTGAAGCCTGCAATCACTATTTTGTGATGCTTTGGCTAGTGTTAGTAAAAGTTACTACAAAGGCAGACGCCTAGCTCTCAAAAATGCCTTGTCGATGTTTGGGATGGTCAGCCCTTGGCCTTCAAGATGGAGAACAGAAGACCTCCCAAGTGCCTGCTCAGAACACAAGTGGGGTGATGGTTTTTTATTTTTTTTCCCCCTGTCAAGTCACCACTGACTTATGGAGACCCTGTAGGACTTTCAAGGCAAGAGATGTTTGGAGGTGGTTTGCCATTGCCGGCCTCCACATCGGCTGCCTCCCCTGCTTAGCTCCTGAGATCTGATGAGATCAGACTGTCCTGGGGATATCCAGGTCAGGGCCAGTCTGAGAGTAATGTGACTGGCCCAAGGACACCCAGCAAGCTTCCACGGCATGAGGGGAGATTCGAACCTGGATTTCCCGGATCCTACTCTAGCACTTCAACCACTGCACCATCCTGGCTCTTGTGACAGAATAGTGTGTTGAAAGTAGATATATATTTTTTTTCTGGCATTTTTATATATACAAAGTTAAATAAAAGACATTTTTCACTTTCTGCATTTCTTTTCTGGCCACTGAAACAAAGTTTGGGTTCAGTGGCACCTTGAGGAGGACCAAACTTTGTTCCGCTGCTTCAGACCAATGCGGCTATTATGATCATTATTCATTTTACTTTATGATTATTACTGAAAATCCTGTTGTCATATAGAGGAGGGGCTCCGACCTGGAGGGCGCCAGCCAAGCCTCTGCGCATCAGATCTCGGCAGCTAAGCAAGGCCGACACAGAGGCAGGCGGTGGCAAAAACCCCCTCTGAGCGTCTCTTGCCTTGAAAACTCTACGGGATCAGCGTAAGTCAGCCATGACTTGATGGCAACAAAATAAATAAATAAAAGAGGAGGGGTTTTTAAAAAATTATCCGCCCTGGGCACCAAATAGTCTTGGTATGCCAGGATACAGAAATGAAAGAACATTTTGTGGAGATGCTGAAGAAGAACCCCCCAAAGAAGCATCACTTTGCACCCGGTTTTAGACTACCTTGATGTCTGACTCCTTGCGAATGTCACAGACCTGGTAGCAGGCTTGGCCTGGGCCCCCAGAAGCCTGCAGGTCCCTCTGAATCGCTCGCCCCTATTCCGCTGCAAGGGGGGAGAACAGAACAGTTGCCAGCAGGAGAAACCTTCCAACCCTGCCTTTTTTGTGCAGCCTCTGCCATCTTATCCCTCCCTCTTCCTTTCCAGCTGTGCCTGAGCTCTAAGTACACACGAGCTTGTTTGCCTTAATGCATTGAAGACTGTTGCTCTTCTCTCTTGGTGGTTTTCTCCATTTGGAGAATGGCTGGCTAAAAGGGCTGCAAAATAAGTCCCACGGGCCAGATAACGCGGGGGTGAGGCGTGGCTGTTTGCTTTAGCTCGATCACACAGTGCTTTAGCTCGATCACACAGTCTCCCAAGTCTTTGCGCTGTGGCAGGAAGCTTGCGATCACACGGCGATGCCAGAACTGGCAAAGAAGCTGCGCGGCAAGCGTTCCGTGTTTATGCGCACGCGCAGTTCCGCAGAACAACACTGCTTCCAATTCAGTGTTTGTGCGCATGCGCTTAGGGAAACCATCTGGTTTGTGACAGGACTTGGACGGGCACCAAAAGCCATGGGATACTAGCGTTCCCGCGCTCAGACGCCCACCCCTGCCACACGTTTTCTGGATACTACTGCACTTTCTGAGGTATTTTTTTACTACGCATCTTCGGCGGGATGCCACGGGTTGGCTACGGGTGCACTACGCTTCCCAGATGTTGCGGTGTGAGCAGAAGATGGGAAATGCCACTTTGACCACAGTCTTCTCATTCCCATTTACTTTCACCTCCAACTCTACTTCTCTAAACCTCATCTTTTCTTTATCTTTGCTGACCTGAGATACTGCCAACAGGGAGGTAAGGGGCTGGATCCTGGGATCCTATCACTCCTGGGCCAGGGGTTGTGCACTGCTCACCCATCTGCTACTGGGGACAGTCAACGCAGAGTTTTGGATCTCTCTTTCAAGGCTGTCAGTGTCCTGGAGACGGAGTCACTGAAGGGCCACCTTCTCCCATATTGCCTGCCCAAAAGACTTCTTTTTACCTCAGCTTTTAATTAAGGGAATTACCCTTTTGCAATTGTTTTTACAGCCTGCTTCTAGCCTGAGACCTGTTCTATGAAAATCATTTTAGGCTGCTAAATGTTTTGTTTTTGTCATCCTCTGGCTTGGGCTTTTAATCTTTTTTTTAATTCACAATTTTAATGCCGTGCTATACTTTTATGAAGTAGAAGTTTGTAAGCTGCCTCAAGAAGGTTCTCTGTGGAGGTGGCATATACCTTTTTTAAACAATCAAGGGGATGCTGTTGGGGTGGGTTGGGGGAAAGGGCTCTGGACTCACCTCCGCAGGCTCGTGAACAGAAGACCACATTGGCTCCCTGGCGAACTGGAGGGCGAGGAGAGAAATGAATGCGAAATAAAACTCAGAGGCTTGGCACCCGCAGAGAGGCGCACCACAAGGTTTATTGACTGGTTTAAAAAGCTCACTTCCTTTCCCCCCATTTTGGTCTCCAAACCCTTCCAAAAAACCCCCACAAACACTTCAAGGGGAAAACCCCCCCAATTCTTTTCAGTCTCAGGAGGGGCAGCGTTCTGCAGGCAGATCTTCTCACAAAGCACAGACCATCAGACTGTCTGTGATGATGAGAACAGAACCCCCCTCCCACAAGCCCTTCAGGAAGATAAGTTTCAGGTGGGTGGCTGTGTTGGTCTGCAGGAGAAGAGCAAGATTTTAGCCAAGTAGCACCTTAAGGTAAAGGTAAAGGTTCCCTTGCTCGAAAGCCACTCGAATCCGACTCTAGGGTTGCAGTGCTCATCTCCGTTTCAAAGCCGAAGAGCCAGCGCTGTCCGAAGACATTTCCGTGGTCATGTGGCCGGCATGACTAAACACCAAGGCGCACGGAACGCTGTGACCTTCTCACCGAAGTGGTACCTAGTTATCTACTTGCAATTTCTTGCTTTCGAACTGCTAGGTTGGCAGGAGCTGGAACTAGAGAGGGGAGCTCACTCCGTCACGCGGCACACTCGGGTCTCGAACTGCTGAACTACCGACCTTCCACAGCCTGCAGTTCAGCGACTTAACCACTTGAGCCCCTGCAGCTCCTAAAGTAGCACCTTACTGAGCACTTTATGTAATTTTCATATTTATTCAATTTTATCTTGCTTTATTTGGTTTTATGTACTGGCACATGGTGCCATTGTTTGTTAGCCGCTGTGAGCCAATTCGTGGGGAGGGCGGGGTAGAAATTTAAATAAATAAAAATAAAATAAACAAACAAGATTTCTAGGGATCGAGAGGTATTTGGCTGCAATCACACTGGCTAAATAATCCACTTTCAATCTTCCTAAGCCTTCCTGGAAGGCTCGACCCCAGCCCCTGTTGGCAGGAATTGCCCCCTCCTCTATACCCACGTCTCTCCATTCTCACCGAATTCTCTCACAGTGGCCAGACCGATGCCTGAGGTGCCACCAGTCACGATCACCACCTTGCCCGGGTAACGCAGTAAAGCGTCCATGCCTGCTGTTTGCCTCCGTTAGTCGTAGTGACTAAAATCCACATTGAGTTTGGAAATATATATATACTGCTGGGTGGAGATACGGAACTGCTGAATTTGGGAATATAAACTGCTGGGTGGAGCAACACAACTGCTGAACTTGCATGTTGGGAGGGGGGGTATGTAGTTAGTTTGTTGACTGTCACCGTGGCAGGTTGTGGAGCATGAGGGCTGCTGGTCATTGTTGAAGTGGGAGAAGAAGACGGGGGAGGCTTTCTAGAAGCTTCTGTGTTTTATCCAACTTCCAGCTTTGTTCCTGGAAGGCCTGAGCTGAAGAAGCAGGAGGCAGGAGCTGTGAGGAAAGCGGCTCCCACTGGATTCCTAGTCGGGATCTTTCTGCTAAGGCCGCTCTTCTTTCCCATCGCTCAGTGAATTTCCTCTATGGTGGGTCCTCCCTCCCATCCTCTCTTTACTAAAATCACTCCCTTTAAAAAATACTCTGCCCACATGGCAGGGGTCATTTTGTAGAAAAAGAGCTAGGGGTACTCATTAGCATAACTAATTAGCATATGCCACACCCCCTGACATCAGAGGCGGGGAGGAAGCAACTTACCCTCCCTCTTCTCCTGCCTCCTCCTGGCTGAATGAGGGCTGGAAGCGGGGTGGCCAGAAGCAAGGGCCGGGGCTTCGTCGTGTGCCCCGCCCCCTGCACCTCACCCGGGGGAACGGCGACCCCCCGCGACCCCCCCGAATTGACCTTTGCCACATGGTATCTTTCCATTCCACCTAATTTATTTTCGTGTCAGCTCTCCCTCCTGCCTCTGGTGGCTGAAATCTCTTCCTGGGGAAGATGGTGGCCCTCAGAACTTCACTTCACCTTTGACACCTGGATTGGAGGAACTGTGGCTAAAGTAGCCGGCCCCATGTTGGGAACTACCTGGATATTTTGGGGATGGAGCCTGAGGAGAACAGGGTTGGGGAGGGGAGGGAATTCGATGGGGTATAATGCCACAGAGTCCACCTTCCAAAGCGGCCATTTTCTCCAGGTGAACTGACCTCTGTTGCCTGGAGATCAGTTGTAATAGCGGGAGATTCCAGCCACCACCTGGAAGTTGGCAACCTTAACTGTGGCTGAACCAGATTCCGCAACAAAACAGCGTTGCCAGGACATTGCCTACAAGTAGAGTTGCCAACCTCCAGGTGGGGCATGGAGAGCTCCTGGAATTGCGATTAGTCTCTGGACTATAGAGATCAGTTCCTCGGAAGGAAATGGCTGCTTGGAGAGAGGACTCTATGGCATGACAATCATGGCTCTCCCCTCCCCAAACTCCACCCTCTCCAAATTCCATGCTCCCAAATCTCCAGGAATTTCCTAACCTGGAGTTGGTAGGGTTGCCAAGTCAATTTTTCTTACCGTCACCGGAAGTGACACACGACGTTGATCACGTTGAAGGCATGGCCCCGATCGTCAGAGGGAAAACCAGAGTTTTCCCTCCAACGACTGGGGCCACGCCCCCAACGTGATTGATGTGGTTGCGTCACCCCCACTTGGCAGCCCTAGGAGTTGGCAACCCTACCTCCAGGACTGCAAGGGCTACCTTCTGGCGTATCAGATTTTGCCAGAGGACAGTGCTTTCAAAACCCAAGATGTCAGCATAGAGCTGCACTGTTAAGGAACAGTGAGTCAGGCCATGACTTGTTAGGCCAATAATGATCTTTGAACTCTGGGCCTGTGGTTTGGGAAAGGGGGGATGGAAAGTTCCCTCTCTTACAATAAATACAGTTGTTTAGCTTTGACCTAAATATGTGTGTGTGTGGGGGGGGGGTTAAGAAAAGAGGCCCAGGGACCTTGAACTCATCTGTAGTTCCAACCCCCAGGTTACATCCATCTGATCTTTTGATTAAATAATGGCAATAGCTAAACATGTGCTTCCCCTCGTGAGCACACCATGGGAGATACTGGACGTGTCGTCCTTCATCCCTCCAGAGATCTACTGGAATGCCTATGCTCTTTCCATGGCACAGCAGCCCACTCTTCGTTCCTGCACACCTTTTAGAAGCTAGCCATCTTTTACTTGCTCTGTCCATCTTTCCACAGTAATTAGGAAATGCAGAAGGGAAGACCCCTGACAAGTTTATCATAGTAGCTTGTTCCCTGTGTTTGAAAACAGTCAACTCCATGTCTCTGCAGAATTTTTAAATTGCTTCCCACAAATGCAAAATGCTAAAATAAAGAGAAGAAAGGGGGGGCTGTTTTATTGGTGAATATTCTTTAGGAAACTTCATGAAAGAGAATTGGTGAGCAGCATTAAGTGATTTTGGAGCAACCCCTTGGGTTTTTTTGTCATGATATCATATTATGCAGTGATCACTACTTTTTCTTACGCTTGAAATGTTTTGGCTGACAAACAGTGACACATGGGTATCAAAGTGCCTGGTTCAAAATAAGATGTGGCTGGGAGGAAGTTTATTATGGCCGGGTGTTTTTTGTGTACTTGCGTTCTCCAGTAATTCTGTCACATGGCCTTTCTACATGTTTCCTGCTCCATAAAACACACCTCTAGCTTTTTCTCTCTTATTCCTCTCTTATTCCTCTCTTTTCCGCAATAAATAGATTATTTAAACTCTTACCATGATATAGTTTCTTGAGATGTGTTGCATTTAAACTCCGCCCTCCTACTCCTTCCCTTTTGACACTTTCCTATTTAAAAAGTTCTGCTTTCCGGATCGAAACCACCTGCCTTCCTTCAGTTACCCTCGACTATGGAAATATTGTACAGTCATCTCCCTTTCTTTACTTCCTTTCCATTCTTCTCTTCAAACATTTCCCTCCTTCCTTTAGTTTTGTTTCCACACATCTTTACCTATTCATATCTATTTAATTTATAGACTGCTATTAATGCCTCATGTCTTAAATAGAAGTTAATTTGACCAGTCCCCACTGGTTACTGTTCTCAACTGGTTGGGGAGGTCTGTCTGAACACTACTTTGCATAGAGATTTCTCTCACCTCTTTTTATGTTTTATCTTTACCACACTTCTTTCCCTTTATGAATCTTCTGTATTGGTACTGGTATTTTTCTGTTTAACTAACAACATACATTCAAACTGTCTTCTTGGCCTGTTGTGGAAACATGGATGAGCTTACCCCATACTCAGTTTACTTCCACACACTTAAATGTCGGTCTTTATTGAATGAAGCTCAGTAATTGAACTTAGATTCCTCACTCCATCTTGTCAGTGGGTTCGCTAAGAGATGATAGGTGAATATAGTTTCAATTCATTTCCTTCCCTTTAATTTAATTTCTCCTATTTTTAAAAGTAAATGATTCAGTGTCCCTTTACTTCTGTGCAGACTAGCAGCGGGAGTACAAAATAAACTTCACCGTGGTGAGAAAATGTAGAAGGGGCAAGATTTTCAAACGTATTCCAAGTCTCAAAAATGGGAAATGCTACACTTTAATTGTGCATTCAATGAACTGTATAAATTACACAAAGGAAGGTGGTGCTCCAGGACTGGAATAGACCCTGTAATCTTTATTTAAAAAACACACCCTTTCCTTCTGGTCACCTTATAGGTTCCTTTTGCATGAGGAGAGTCTCTGTTCTTTCCCTCCTAAATGCATGCTAGACTTCTTGCCTGCCCGTCATTCCCTCACCCCCTTCCCCCAGCAGGTCCCATTTAGTGTCTGAGAAAAATAATCGTGTATTGCTGTAGTGTTTTAATGCTATAGCGATATACTTACTACTGACAATGTTTAAAAAGACCTGGTAAAAGTCTTCCAGCAGTCCTTTTGGGGAATGGCACTGGATGTGGAGAAAGGAGATGCAGAGATCTGCACCTTTCCTTGACTGTCCTGAGGAAGCAGATGTGAAATGGAGCAATACCATATTTATTGAGAAAGTCTTTTCCAGCACTGAAACACAGCAGCTTCTGACCATAGGAACACTGCTAATATGCCAACACGTCATGAGTGGACTGGGAGACTGGAACAGCCATGTAAGTAAAGAACAAAAGAACATAAGAGAAACCATGTTGGATCAGGCCAGTGGCCCAACTAGGGTTGCCAAGTGAGAATTGAGCCGCAGCGGGGGACTCCCGGCTCACAGCTGGAGCATGCGCGCACACCGCATCCACATCACTCGGAAGTGACTGGGGCATGGCGGGCACGCTGGGGGTGGGGCCATGACCATCCAAGGGAAAACCATTGAGTTTTCCCTCGGATGACCGTGGCCCCGCCCCCAGCGTGCCCAGCGTGGTTGCGTCACTTCTGGGTGACGCACACATCGGGGTGGAGTTCTCCCCGGAGCCCGATCCGCTGGCGGTGGGGAACGGGCCTCTGGGGCGAGGTCCCCCCCCCCCCGGGGGGCCTTGGCAAGCCTAGGCCCAACCCATCCAACACTTTGTGTGACACAGTGGCCAAAACCATGGTCCCATCATGAGGTCCACCAGAGGGGTCAGAACTCCAAAAGCCCTCCCACTGTTGCTCCCCAAGCACCAACAAATACAGACCATGACTGCCTCAGACATAGTGTTCCATCGATACCTTGTGGCTAATAGCCACTGATGGACCTCTGCTCCCTATGTTTATCCAGTCCCTTCTTGAAACTGTCTATGCTTGCAGCCACCTCCACTTCCTGCGGCAGTGAATATTTATTTATTTATTTATTTATTATTCAAATTTATACCCCGCCCTCCCCCGTAGGGCTCAGGGCGGCTTACAGGGCAAGATAGTCTTGCGTCAATAAAACCACAATACAAATACAGTATATCTTCATTATAAAACATTTTATACAATTAAAACCCATCCTATCTCACAATAAAGTGCTCGGTAATGACTAAACTCCAAACCCAAGATGGCGGGACAGTTTCAACAGTTTTTGGCCGACAGACTATGATATCATGATATTTCCAAGGATCTTCTCAGGGCCTCTTCAACTCCCCTCCAAGATGGTAACATAATAGGGGGGGGCAGCGGCCCCTACTCGAAAGCCTGGTGGAAGAGCTCCGTCTTGCAGGCCCTGCGGAACT